TAATAACCCTCCAGAGATCTTAATAACCCTCCAGAGGCCTTAATAACCCTCCAGAGGTCTTAATAACCCTCCAGAGATCTTAATAACCCTCCAGAGGTTAGTAGACCAAAAACCCAACATAAAAAAGGCTTATTAGCCCTCTCTCTTGCGGGGGGAATTGATAAGGTATCCACATTATCTTACTGATCAACCAGCCTGTGTATGATTTCAAGTATATGTATACACATACAGAGGTATACACCTCTGTATGTGTACATCTCTGCAATAACAATCTTGTGTACTTTGGTTTCAACAATGAATTCATTATGATTTTTAAAATATCAGTTGTTTATATGATGCTGCCACCACTACAACAATCACAATCACCACGTCAACAACAATCAACAATAACCACCAGAACAACCACTACATCAATAACAGAAATATACCATAATAATACACTAAGCCTTCCAGAAACTCTCTCTCTCTTCTCCTTAACTGAATTAATCTTTTTATTTTTGTTCAGATCACAGATGAAGGGAATAAACACACACTCAAGGTATTGTTCCCACTCAATCCCTCCTGCCCCCCTGATCCAGCGTCTTACGTTCATAGAACGTCTCAAGCCCCCCCCACATAGAACGTCTCAAGCCCCTCACATAGAACGTCTCAAGCCCCCCCCCCACATAGAACGTCTCAAGCCCCCCCATAGAACGTCTCAAGCTCCCCCCCCCACATAGAACGTCTCAAGCCCCCCCATAGAACGTCTCAAGCTCCCCCCCCCACATAGAACGTCTCAAGCCCCCCCATAGAACGTCTCAAGCTCCCCCCCCCCACAAAATAGAACGTCTCAAGCCCCCACATAGAACGTCTCAAGCCCCCCACATAGAACGTCTCAAGCTCCCCCCCCCCCCCACCCACTACCTCAGGAAATAACTCTCTCCCCTCCTCCCACACCCACATTTTTTTTCCCGCAAGCATATGTGTTTCTTTCCCTGGATTGAATATGTTACATTTTTTGCTATTGAAGTGTTTTTTTTTCCCCTTGAATTGAACGCCAACACTTGTGAACGTCAGAGTTTGTTTACCCTTCTGAACGTTAGTTGTTTTGTGAGTGATATTTTCCCGTCAGTTTTGTTATTTTTTGGTGTTTGGGTTCAGAGCGTTGTTGGTGTGTGTGTGTGTGTGTGTGTGTGTGTGGTGTGTGTGTGTGTTGTGTGTGTGTGTGTGTGTGTGTTGTGTGTGTGTTGTGTGTGTGTGTGTGTGTGTGTGTGTGTGTGGTGTGTGTGTGTGTGTGTGTGTGAGTGTGTGTGTGTGTGTGTTGTGTGTGTGTGTGTGTGTGTGTGTGTGTGTGTGTGTGTGTGTGTGTGTGTGTGTGTGTGTGTGTGTGTGTGTGTGTGTGTGTGTGTGTGTGTGTGTGTGTGTGTGTGTGTGTGTGTGTGTGTGTGTGTGTGTGTGTGTGTGTGTGTGTCGCACGGACAGGAACCCGGTGCTTGGACGTGTATTGTTCAAGAATCGTTTGCATGTGTTCATATTGACCTCTTCTTTGAACTTGTTTTGTGTTATTATTGATCAAAAGAAGCCTCAGAGAGGAGAGACATGATAAGGGCATATCAAATACTCAAATACTATAATATACCATTTGATATACTCGCATATCAAATGGCCTTATTAAGGCTGTCAGATGGCTGTTGAACAATCTGCTATGTTCATATAAATGTTCTTATATGTTAATTGTTCATATGTTCATGGAAAGTGAACTTTGTCGTCATAAAGGGGGTTAGTATTATTCCTTTATACAGCAAATACAGTAGTTGTATTAAAATAAATCACACTCAGGTGATTTATATCATTAAAGAAACTCAATTAAAAGGAAGGTGGTGATTGGACCCAGCGATGTGGGTACTGCCAGGCGCACATGCTGGAACACGGGTTCGAGCCTCCGCCAAGCTCCTAATTGATATTCTCAGTAGTTGTATTAGTATTTTTTCACTATATCTTAGTTGAACTCATCCCCTAACGCCATATTTCCTTGTCCCTCTGGTGAACAGGTGATGAACTGCAGGGTCCAGGACTCTGGCATCTACACAGCCAAGGCCACAGATGAGGCTGGCGCCGCTGCCACATGCTCCGCCCAACTTCTCGTACAGGAACGTAAGTCGGGCACTAAATATAATATACATTTATCGTTATTTTTGTACCCATTATTTTGTTTGGGATAGATAGATAGATAGTCAGTGTTTACTTGAAATCAATTTAAAGTTAACGTTAACTTTTATTCTCGATCAAAGGAGCCTTTGAACTGAAGGGGTTGGTGGTGCTGCCACATGTAAGAGCTCAACATATCGTACAGCATGTTTCTCCCCTCTTTAAAAATTCAAAATTCAAAATATTTATTGAGGTAAAAGTACATCACATAGAAGATGAGTTACAAACATAATGTTGGATTTATAGATAGAGCTAGTACATACAACACAATACAATACAATTATGAACGGATTACACTATACACACAATGTTCGAATTTGACGTTCGAACTTTGACACAACCA